CAAGTACCCCCTCAACCTATGCCCGAAATCCCAGAGACACACTTATACTATACTAAGGTCATATTACCCCCCTGAACTTATTTTATACGTAATTTTATACCCCTTTTGGCCCTACGTGATACTAATTTTAAAAAAAGTCAATCAGCGTTGGACCCACAAGATAGTGCCACGTAGGCCGAAAAGAGGTAAAAAATTATTAATAAAATAAGTTCAGGGGTGTAATAGGATCTTTATATAGTATAAGTGTGTCTCTGAGATTTCGGGTATAGGTTGAGGGGGTACTTGTGCATTATCCCTTTTGATAATCAAATTTATTTATGTTTCACTAATATTCTTGTAAAATTAAACTTTTTTCTTTGAATACAAAAAAAAACAAATTAAAATATAGACAAAAAAAATAGTTTAATTTTTTTTCTTTAAACTAAGGAATGAAAGAAAAAATAAAAATAAGAACAAGAAACTCAAATAATTATAATAAAAGAAGTCAAAAAATAATTTATTTATGAAAAAAATTTAAATAGTTCTTATTTCCTTAATGAAAGAGTTAATGCTGAGTAAATAACAACCAAAACCGATTTCGAGGATCATTCACTATCAACTCTAACTAGTTTTCATAAAATATAGAAATTATTAACTTTAATAGTTCTGAAATCGTAAACTTTATCATCTCCATCAATTTCTTCCATTGTATATACAAATTTCTATTTATTTCAACTGGCTAATATAATAGTATCATTGAGGAACTCGGGTTCGTGGATCTCTAAAATTGAATACGAAATAATACTTTTAAGAGATAATGCAACCAACAAAGGTCTAGTCCGTGGTATCTCACAAACATGATAAAATTTTTTAATTATATTCTGCTCGTATATCTTAATTTTTATAGTGCATATTTCGGACACATAATGTATAAGACATTGGCGAATGAAAATTCAAACTCTACAAACATTCTAAAATAGTTAACAAAAACAAATAAACAAAAAAGAGCTTAAATCGAAAAAAATTATTAATATGAAGTACCTTTAATAAGAATTATACTATTTTGTGAGTTATTAACCATTAAAATGAATTGGAGAAACAAAGTGGAACAATGTAAATTCTAAAATTGAATTTCAAAAAAAAATTGAAACTCTACTTAGATACATGAAAGTGACGAAGCCCAAGATATATTAAGATATCTTAATTTACCTTTTTACGATTGATTATCAAGAATTAGTTTTGAAATTAGTACATGAAAACAAGTCTTGAGATGATTAAGGAATAAAGAGAGATCGTGGATGTGTGTTAAATATGTGGGGGATGTGAGAGTTAGTAATTTGAATTGTCAATGTACTTTTAATTAAGGAGTTCAAAATTTTAAAATAATTATTTAATATCATATTTAAGAGTTAATTTTGTATATTTAATTTTATTTTTTTTAAATATATGATATAATTATTAAAAAGTAATATTATAACTAATACGTTTAAACTATATATAAAATATGTATATAGTAATTAATTATGTATTTTTCCTTAAATTTAGGATTGTCGTATCCTTATTTGATTCCAGATCTTGTGATATATAAAATATAGTAATGCTTTTTCTTCTTCTTCTTCAGGATTGAACAAAGTGGATGGATGTAATTGGAATTTGATCAAAAATAGTTGGCGGCTGCTATATGCAAAATTAGTGCATATGTAGATCGTTTGTTCCGAGAATTTTAATAGTTCAGTTGTTATTTTTTTCTTATTAAAACGGATTTGATTTTCTACATTTATAAGTTATTTTTATTTTTTTTACTTCATTTTTTCTATAAAAAGAAGGATAGATCATTGATTTATATTTTAGTTAATATTTTTAAAATTATCTTAAAAGATAAAGATAAATCAAACTGTGGAATTTATGAATTTTTGAAATTGATTTAATTGTTCGACTTCACGTAAAAACATAAGAATTAAATCCATTTTTATGGGGTATAAGGGGAAACTAAAGCAAATTAATATCCCATAAAAGCAAAGTAATTTGCACAGATACAACTCTTTTATATTCGTACCCCACTAAATAATTACTTTATATATTCCTAACTAGTTTCGCTTACTTAATACTAAGTAAGTATCATATATTGTATTGATATCATTAATGTTAATAATTTTACTTAATTGATATTAAATCAGTATATATATCATTGACTAATGAGTAATTTCTGAACAAGAAACTTTAATGATACCATAGTAATATATACATTTACTCTTACAGTAACATTAACTAATAAGTAATTTTCAAACAAGGAACCTTAATGATAACACAATAGTATAAATATACTCTTATAGTATCATAGATTAATGAATAATTTCTGAACAAAAACATGAATAATATATATATATATATATATATATATATATATATATA